AAAGGCAATCAGAAAGAGAAAGTTTCTATATTTTTTAACACAATCCTATAAATACATCACCTCTACATACCAAATGCCTTTACATCACTTGAAAAGATAAAATTTTCAATGTTTCTGCTTCCATTTCGATTGATAATCTCTGTCTTCGCATCCAGTGCGGTCATATTTGAAGTTAAGTTGAAGTTCGCTTGGAACTTAACCACAACACTTCCGTTACTGTCGAAAGGACAAAAAAATCTTAATATTTATTTGTCTGCAACTTTTCATTTCGTTATGTTAAAACTTATCGAAAGATTTGCGTACAGACAACCGAAATTGAATCTTCATAGCTATAGACCCCTCGTAAGATAACCTTGGCGAGGCATCGTAATGAATATACAAAAGAAAACACACTATTTCCCGTTGGAATTTGTGGCATTTTTTTTGTATTCAATATAAGCCTCGCATCCCATCAAGGTAAGTTTGAGACGGAACCCGCATGCGTAGTTGGCTTTCTCTGAGGCCAGCGTCTCCCTCTTCTCCGCCCATGCATGAACCTGTACGCCAGTGCTTTCAAATCTGTCGTTTTTGGGAAGGGTTATTAATGCCGCAACTAATTTCTCACCTGAACTTGATATCGGTGATGTTAATGTATCCTGGTTGTTCGGAAAAGATACGGTCAAACTATAGAGATAAAGGAAATAATACTCTATTGAATATAAATGCGTTTAATCGAGCTTAGGAAAATTTTGTAATTTTTTATCCGAACGGATAGAATGGTAATTGTCCTTTCGTTTCTGTTTCTTTGTTAAAAAAAGTAATTTATTTTTTTCTTGGATAACGCGGGGAGTGGTTGCCCAATTCTCCCGAGCCAAGGGCTCATGTTTAATGCGCTCGAATGTTCATCAGTTTTGTTTTTGTTTTGGTATCATTTTTTTTATCAAGTTTACTTCAAACTGGGAATGTTTGGGTATTATAACACGTCTGAAATGGGTTAAGACGTGACAGCACCGTGACGATACGGAAATGACTACTTCGACGATACGGTGGCCATCTCTGATCGATATGCATTATGGGGCGTCAAGGGGCCAAATGAATCTGTGTTACAGTAATGACGTCGATTGACATCAACAGCTCACCACAAGAAAATACAACAATAGATGAATTAAGACGCCACATCGATCGCCTGTGCACATAATTGATAAATTTCGGGCTTTTATAAAACACAAACACACGAAGCTCTATATATTTTCCGCCGTTATCTTTGATTTGTTTTGCCCCCTGACAAATTGTMCGCCGTATCGTCGAAGTAGTCCATTGTGACATCCTTTAAACCCATCAATGCGTGCGAGATCACTTCTAAAAATATTCGGATATATTACCGTTTCGATCACGGCACGTCCTTAGGGAGTTTCTTGCACTCGTACGAAATTTGTCTTAAACGGTATAGGTTTTAATTTGTTTTTGTTTTACTCACCGTATTTCTCACTCTCTTTGATAGATTAGTGTACGCGCTGGTGTTACTTGATATCAAATCGACACTAAAGCGTTCATTGAAAATCTTGACGGTCACGTTTATGGTACGGATTGACTCATTCGTCCATGGCTTGTATGGAACAGATATCGAGGAAGACCTACTCACCACCATTACAGTAGAGTTGGGTGTTACCGAAGACGCCATTAGTGAGTAATTNGTCCATGGCTTGTATGGAACAGATATCGAGGAAGACCTACTCACCACCATTACAGTAGAGTTGGGTGTTACCGAAGACGCCATTAGTGAGTAATTTAGAGATGAATTTATCGTAGACATGGTGAAATTAATCGATGGTGTTATTGACACTGCAAAGTTCCTTGTGAAATTCACTGATGCTGATACTACTGTTGATATTACTTGGTCAGAAGAAACGAATAGCGTACTTGGTAATATGCTAACCTTTACTGTTGCATTGATTGTTGTATTGGACAAGTTGATACTCTCTGTAGTTAAGACAGCAGAAGGAGTGATGGAAGTGTTGGTACCATTATCTACAACAGTGCTGGATAAGTTGCTGCTTTCTGTAGCGAAGACAGTAGTAGGAGAGATGCCAGTGTTGGAAGTATTGTTTACAACAGTGCTTGATAAGTTGCTGCTTTCTGTAGCGAAGACAGTAGTAGGAGAGATGGCAGTGTTGGAAGTATTGTTTACAACAGTGCTGGATAAGCTGATACTTTCTGTAGTGAAGACAGTAGTAGAAATACTCGTTGCATTTGCAAAGCAAATTAAAGAGAAAAACATCCAAATACTGTACAACGTGTTTGCATGCATCCGCATTATCCCATTCTTATTCTTGCTTGCTGCCACTAGTCGCGACCAGCTTTTCCCATACAACAAAACAATATAAGATAGTACTATCTGAAAGACGTTTACCCATGTATCGGACATTAAAATGTCAATATGCAGTCGTCTTTCAAAGTTCGTGTCATTTAAAGACGTTTTCTTTGTGTTTGACGTAGCACAAGGTGACATACAAGAGCGAGTGTCACAAGCGATTCTTCTCTGCCAAGAAGTCCATGTTTGCTTGCTTGAACAAGACTTGTTTCCTTTTCTGCTAGAACAGTCCACCGTTTGTGGTGTAACTTTTCCTGGTACTTCTATAAAACTCTCTTTTTCTTTCATACACTGAGAGCAGTTAGTATGGTTCTGTCGGAAATCCCGTAAATTACTTATTGAATTTATATCTATTTTGGTTTGCACTTGGTATGCTTTTTTTACTTGAAGATGAACATCATCCCCAGATCCATTAAAACCTTCCTGCATCTTACAGCAACGAGGGAAAGCGAACAAGCTTTGCGTTGTAGATCTATAAAAAAAGACATTCAGTATGCGTAATGATCAATTTTAAAACGGATGATGCTACTAAAATCAGGAACTGACGCTCTGTACAGCAACTCTCAAATGGCTTCTGCATTAGGTCCAATTAGAAAGCACGAAAAAACAAACTGACCAATCACRGTGCTGAATCAGGAAGCCATTATCTAGGGTGTAGGTTTCCCGCTCATAGACAATCTGCAGCCAGTTCTATTCTTAGAACGGAACCAGCGCTTTATGACTTAACAATCTTTCATTTTATTGTTATCACACAGCTGTTAATTGCTTGCTGTTTGTATATCTGGCCATAGATAGCTGTCGCCTTGAGCAGCGAATGTGCGCCTTTACCTGATGTTGAATTCTCATCGCTCAAGTGCTGTCATCCTTTGCTGTTGTTGGCAGTCCAGTCTGATACTATAGATAAAGACGATATGACGTTAAAATATAGCTGCAAAATCACCCAGCTTGTCTCGCTTAATTTATCAAAAACTCTACTAATCTCGAGGAAAATGATTAAAGATTACTAGACTCAAATATAGACAATGATTTTTAAAAAGTTGAATTTAAAATGAAGCGAAAATTTCCAATGCAAGTGCTTAAGTACTGAGTATCATCTCATGTTTGCAGTTTGTTTCGCCTTAGTTCATTTGTTAGGAAGCTTTATTTATTCCTGACATTGTTATGGAAAACAATTAAAAAAACATCGTTTTGTAAACTGAAATAATTGGCAATTCAGTTATAAATGAAAAAAAATCATTAATTATTTTCCAGAATTACTATCAGTGGGTCGCAATCATAATGTTAATATTTTTCCATATTATCTTTTTCATTTTCTAAACGGTTTTTATCTGGTATCGTATTTCACCTGCCGTTTGTTGTTCACATTTTTTGGTTGTTCTCTCAGTCACCCGTGGAAACGAATCATTGAGAATTTCCTACGGTCGTGGAATAAAAGTTGCGAGTATTTGAATCACTGTAGGGACTAACTGACCAATAGTAACGATTGGCAAAAATATACTTCTGAATTTAACTCTGTTTTATCTTGAGAACCAATAACTCAGCGGCAATTCAGAATAGAGAGAAGTACTATTCAAACTCGGGATTTCTTCTAGTTCTTAGTTCTTAAAGCAGTCCCATCTCTAAAACTTCAATCCAAATATTTTATCGGAACGGAAAACTACAAAAAGAAGAAAATACATTGATTTGAATTCTATGAAACAACGTTATTTTACAGAAGCAGGATTACTCGATTCCATGATAGGACAAGAGGACTGGAGTACAATGAAATTCTAAATTGTACTCTGTAGAGTCCCAATGAAATAGCTCAATTTTGTTGAGCATATTATAAACAAAAAATCGC